GTGAGGAGGACACAGGGAGGAGAGCGGATAAGAAGAACACAGGGAGGGGGAGGTGAGGAGAACACAGGGAGGGGGGAGGTGAGGAGAACACAGGGAGGGTGGGTGAGAAGAACACAGGGAGGGTGGGGGAGAGGAGAGACCACTAAGGGGCAGGGGAGAGCTCTAAGGGACAGAAGGGACAGCTCTATAGGACATGGGGCAAGACAGGGAGCTCTTTCACACTACGTGCGCACACACACACAATGCATCCCTATACATACACAGAAACACACAATGCATCCCTACACACAGAGAAACACAACATGCTTCCCTTACACACACACACAAAGACAATGCATTCTTTGCACACATACACAGAAACACACAATGCAAACCCTTACACACACACTGCTTTTCTTACATACACACAGAAACACAATGCATCTCTAACACACACACTCAATGCACACACTTACAGACACACACCTTGCATGCTTTATGCATACAAACACAGATTCACGCAATTAATCCCTTACATACAACCAGAAACACACAATACATCCCTTATACACAAATACACACTGCTTCCACTACACACAAACACACTGCATCACCTGCACAAACTGGTGTCCCTATACACTACATACAATAAGCACATATATTAGATTCTCTACAATAACACATCCCCTACACACTCCACTCCCTGTGAGCGAACTCATGGGTGGGTGGAACATATAAGTGGACTTATGCGTGGGCCTTGTGGGCATACTCACCGTCAGGCCCTGGGGCCCAGAACTTGAGCTGTGTAAGGGGCCCCCAAAAAATGGAGCTGCTTCCAATTCTCCCAGAACATTGAATTTTGTGACCACAGTTTCAAACAGCCTCCAGAGATCCTGTTCTACACCAGACCAGTGGAGCCAAACTGCAACCCATCATCATCCTCATCTTGTAAGTAGGCAATCTAGTATATTATTAGTGACACTAATCTATAATTTACCTCACATTAAAGGGACACTATAGTCCCCAGAACCACTGCAGCTTAATGAAGTGGTTCTGGTGTCTATAGCCGGTCCCTGCAGGCTTTTTAATGTAAACACACACTGTGTGCAGCACTGACGTTAGTTCGTATGGCAGCTCATATAGGTGGGGCATTGTGATGTCACATGGGGGCGGCAAATACAGCTGTTCCCCATGCAGCCACAAGTGCCGCTGTGCTGGGAGATTGTGATTACTCTTCACTTCCTTCCAGCCTACAGAGCAGCGCATGGGAGAGAGAGATGAGGAGGCATGATCTAATCTTACAACAAATCCAGTAAGCAAATCTTTATAAATTTGGGGGGGATCAGCTCTGATTCCAAAGTTTATTGGTGTTTACTCTGATGTCTGTATTAATATTGAGTAGTAAGATCAGTGTGTGTCAGCAGGGCCAGCTGTTGGGGTGTGCACGCTGTGCGGTCACGCAGGGTGCCATCGCAATAGAGGCGCCCCGCGGACAACACAGCTCACAAGTTGGAGACGCCAGCCTATTCAATTTAAATGATTCGCTGGTGGTCCACTGGTGCGCACCAGCAGTAGGTGCAGTCAGATTATATCCTCTCCCTCGTGGTTCCGGCACTCAGTTAGTGAGTCAGAGCACAGGCTCAGAGATTCTCAGCCTGCGCTCTGACAACATTGAAAGTCAGAGCCGTGAAAGAGCGGGTATGGCAAAGAGCTACTGATTAGCATAACATCAATATCTGTTATAAAACCAGGAAAAGGTGGGCACCATTGCACTGATTTGGTGGTGCAATGGGCCACTTGACTGGTTTTGCCCCCCAGGCCTAAGGCTGCCATCCCTCCCCTGATTGGCAGAGAATTGATTGGTGAGACTGAGGAGGGTGGGGGGGTGCATGATTTATAACTGCTTCATTAAAGGGATACTATAGTGCTAGGAATACAAAGTTGTCTCAGAAACTGCATTAATTAACATTGCAGGATGGAGGGGACCGAGGCAATGCACCCAGACCACTTCAATGAGATGAAGTGGTTTGGGTGCCTATAGTGCCCCTTTAATCTGAAGTTGTTTTGTTGTCTTTAGTGCTTTGTAGAATACCAGAGGAAGGGACACGTTGGTTACCAGTGGTTCATTGCAGCCAACCATCAATTGCTTAAGTTACACAGTATTATTATTATTTACACAGGAACAGAGGGATTGAGGGCCCTGCTCAATGAGCTTACATGATAGAGGGAGTGGGGTATAGTGACAAAAAGGAAGAGTAGGGTAGAATAGTAGGTTGTTGAGATAGTATTAACTGAAGGCTTAGTATTTTGTTTTGATGAAAGTTGCAGGAGAGAAAGCTGTTGACAGTTTATTTGATAAACTTTCCTAAAGACCTAAGTTTTCAAAGATTTTTTTAAGGAGTGGAGACTGGGTGAAAGTCTAACAGAGAGGAGAAGGGTTTTCTATACGAATGGTGCAGTCCTAGTGAAGTCTTTAAGGCGAGCATCCAAGGTAGGAGTACGAACAGAGGGTAGACGTAGGTCTCCGGCAGAGCCTAGGGACCTAGACGGGAGATATTTGTGTATTAGTGAGCATAAGTAGGTCTGAGCAGCATTGTGTATTGATTTGTAAGCAAGTATCAGGATCTTAAATTGAATCCTACTTACGGGAAACTAATGTAGGGACTGACAGAGGGGGGAGGTGCAGGCTGACAAGAAGATAAGCCTTTCCGCCACAATCATTATAGAATTATAATGATAATTTATTATTCATTATAGACTGAAATGGGGCAACTTACACGTAAGACCACTGAGAAGCGGATTACAGAAGTCATGGTTAGAGAGGACAGCGGCATGGACAAGCACCTTAGGCATTAAATAGGGTCGGATGCACGGTATATTTTTGAGATGGAAGCGGCAGGATTTGGCAATTGACTGAACATGAGGAGTGAAGGAGAGGTCGGAGTCAAAGAGAACACCTAGGCAGTGAGCCTGCGAGGTATAGCTCCATTGACTTGTAGGGAAACAGACAAGGGAGCAGCAACAACGTTCCTTACGTTTAAGGAAATGAGCAGCCATCCAGTTAGAAATAAGTAGCAATCAGAGACACAAGTCAAGAGGGGTGGTGAGAAATCAGGGGAGGACAGATAAATTTGCGTGCCATCCACATAGAAATGATACTGGAAGTATTCTTCGTTTTCACTGCTCTAGTATGCAAGGTATTGGTAAACTGTGGTTATTTGGTGACATTTAGCATTGAAAGGTCACTCTGAGCGCCATACCCACTACAGCTCATTGTAGTGGTAATTGTGCAAATAATCTTTTGGGTGGCATATCCCCAGTTTCTTTCAAAACATTTTGAAGGGTCTGACAGAACTCAAGTCTCTACTGGTAACTAAATTCCAGGCTACACTGTATAAAATTACCATGCTTTAGTGTTGATTTTTGCTAACTACTAGAAAGCAGTTTGATACAAACGAGGAGATGGCAACTGAAGACTCTGCATTATCATCACTAAAATTAGCTGGAGTGGTAACAGTGCTTAGCTGGTCCCTTTAAAGCGTTTCTCCAATTTTTTATTTTTTTTTCATCAGGAACCCCCTTTCGAACACTTGAAAAATGTACTAAATGAAGGTTTTACTGC